TGTGACTCCGCCAACAATTTCTGAAAACTCAAGTGTGTTCGTTCAAACAGAAGTGACTTCATCATACAAACTTAGTTTGTGTATTTTATGGAGACCTTCTTTAATGTAGCAGTTTCCTACGGCTAGTTATAGCTAAAAGTAACAAGAATATCAGGGCAGACTGGACAACTATAGTATTTTTCTCTTTATCCTTGCCTAGCTGAAATAATAACCTCTTTGTATGTTGGGAGTTGCAACGCCGATCACAAAAACCTCTTGGCGATTGAGTTAATGACCAACATCGACACATTCTTTAACAAAAAGTCGCGTAAGGCACCCTTTAGGAGAATAGTCTACTAGGACCTGGTTACGAACGTTCTTGTCTCATTGTGCTTTGGAGCTCAATCTAAAGCTCAACTGCTTTGGAGAAGTCGTATGCGACTTCTAATATATGATGAAATAGAGCCGACAAAGACAAGGGAAACCGGAACGGCCATTTCTGGCGTAGTAGCTGTCGTCAGTCAGTTATACTTAATCCCACGCGTGGCGGCTCCCAAGATTCCCTATCGCAATCGACAAAAACAACGGGCCCTTGGTGCAATAGTAGAGTGTTACACCCAACGACCAAAGGTCGCGGGTTCGAATCTCGGGGGTCGCCACCCTCGAGATTGGGTATGACTGGTTGATGATGGCTTATAGGCCAGAAATGGCCTTTCCGGTATCATTTGTCTTTGCCAGTTCCATTTCATCATAGTCTTACATGTTTGGACCGTTCTTCTGACCCCCGCATTACCTTGATACAAGCCTGTTTTTAAGTAGAGCAAGGTCAAAGGTAGACTGACTTCCTTTCATTTCTGGACGCTATGGTGAATCAAAGCGGGTAGGCTCTGGGCGTCACTGTCGCTATAGGTCATCTACAGGTGACGTTTACTGGTCGAGGTCATCATTTGTTTATTATATTATCGTTTCAGGAACATGCACTCCTTCACCGTCGGAACTAGTACTAATGTGTCTTAGTTCTGTACTTGAGGTGGTTGGCTGATGCCAGAAATTGGTCCCACCCTTTATTTGGCGT